ACAAAATAATATATAAAACTACATAAAATAATATATACATTGTTTCTTATATAAAACGATATAAAATAGTAAATAATCCTCTCACTATAAAAAGAGTTATCATATTATTATCGACTCAAACCCATGTTGCAAGTTCCCCCCCCCCCTTATAACATTTTGGAGAATAGAAATTATATCAAAGTCACATCTGAAATTCTTAGCGAAGAATATTGTTTATGAAGCCACAAAAAATATAAAGTATTCGAAACGATTGATAAAAAGATGGCGGTTAGCATTATGGACAATAAGGACAATTTATCGTATCAATAAATGAAAGATTTAATACAAAAAAAAGTTGAAAAAAACAAAAGTACGGGTATCTTTGAATCATTTAATTTAAAACCTTACAGATTGGAGTTTTCCAGATAATATCTGGATCGATTTAAAAGCTATGGTTCGGGGCTTAATACGGAATCAATTTCAGTACAATTCATGATTAACTTTTGTAATTAAAAACTTAAAACAAGATTGGTAGAGGAAAATACGACGGATCTAAACATTATGATGGAAATAACTGATATTAAAACCTGTGCAGAGAAAGATTCATGGAGAAGAGATGAAGAAGCGCAATGGCAAGGCAATTCGGTATGGAAAGGAAACAAATATGCTTTTAAAGGGTTTGATAACCAACATCAAAAAGCAAAATATTATATTGATACCATATAATCTGAGGCCATGAAATAAGATTAATTTTATGAATGATTTTATCATTAATATGCAATGATTGATTTTATCATTGATATACAATTAAATAATCTCAATTTTTCATTTATAGATACTGGTTCTCCGGTGACAGCCTTGCCGATTAAAGATTTCGAAAAGCTCACGAATCACGAAAATATTGAGTTGAAAAGTTGTTCTAGGAAGTTATTCTAATGACGGTTTTCCCATCACAGTAATTGGGAAAGTCATTAATTGTAAGGTTAAGTGGTTAAATTTTATTAAATATTTCGATTTTTATGTATTAGATAGGGAGGGACCACCCTTATGTGGTCAAGATTGGATTAGAGAATTTGATATATTCAAATGCAATTTTGATATAAACATGTTTAATAGGCAAAAGATAGGTGTAAATTAAATTTTATCTTTTAGCAATTTATGTTCATATAAGATAAATATTTGTTTAAGTGTATTACTTGTACACCTACTTTACCAAGAGTGAATCCGGATATTATAAGAATAAATTGTAAAGAATTAACTTTAGAACCACTCACTCAGTGTTTGTATCAGTGGGATTCAAGAATGGCAAGTGGTCGTTGGGAGGATCAGTAATGATGTTGTGTGGGGAATTAAGATACCACTATTCCCTTCTTTCCCATTTTTAATGTTGTCATTTAACATTTCGTTTTTTTTGTTGAATATTAATTAATATTTAATAAAATATGTGTATAACTTTATTTATTTTTTTTTGCATTATATTGATTCCCCTCCTTGCCTTTTTTTGAATGTATTTAATGATTGTTTTCCAAAATAAGGAAACAACAACATTAGAATTGTACTTTGATTCCCCTCTTTAATGCAATTATGTATTCCAAAATAAGGAAACAACAATAATATAAAGATAAATTAATTCCCTTTCCCAATATAATAATTGTATTCCAAATAAATTATTGATTGTTTTCCAAAATAAGGAAACAACAATATTATGAAGATATATTTATTTCCATCCCTTTTGAATGTATTTATTGAATTCCAAAAGAAGGAAACAACAATATTATAAAGATACACTAATTCCCCCCTCTCATTATAATAATTGTATTCCTAATAAATTTATTGATTGTTTTCCATAAGAAGGAAACAACAATATTATGAAGATAAATTTATTCCCACTTTTTCCCTTTTGAATGTATTTATTGATTGTATTCCAAAATAAGGAAACAAAAATATTATAAAGATACATTAATTCCTTTTCCCATTATAATAATTATATTCCTAATAAATTTATTGATTGTTTTTCAAAAGAAGGAAACAATAATATTATAAAGATAGATTAATTCCTTTTCCCATTATAATAATTGTATTACAAATAAATTTATTGATTGTTCTCCAAAATAAGGAAATAACAATATTATAAGCATACATTTATGCCCACTTTTCCCATTTTGAATGTATTTATTGATTGTATTCCAAAATAAGGAAACAACAATATTATAAAGATGCATTGATTCCCCTGCTTAATGTATGATTGTATTACAAAATAAGGAAACAACAATAATATAAGGATACATTAATCAGGGATAACCTGATCTCGGGCCCTGAACCCTCCTGAACTCTCGTATTGGCTGTGCCCTAACCAGGAAACGGACCCTTTTTTAAAAAGTGGAGGGTCCAAGGGTTCTAGGTGTCAAAAAAATTTATATAAAATTTTTCAAATAAAAATATTTTTTTTAAAAATAATATAATTTTTTTATTTTATTAACTTCTTTTCATAAAATCATTTATTTTATCTTCGCGTTTTTCTTACAATTTTCTTCCTAGACTTCCTTTTTATTTAGAGATTGATATCATAAATTATTTTCTAGTGTAGGTAATAATAATATATTATGTAATTTATTAATAGGATTCCCCACAAATATTTATTGCATCAGATGTGCCCATACTCTACAATTGGCTATTAATGATTGCCTAAAAAATAATAACTTTAAAACTATCATTGATAAAGCAAGGGATATTGCAAAATATTTAAGAACTCCCACAATTGTAAGAATATGTCAATGGCAATATTCGATTGCAGAACACATTGGTCCTCAATTTGTAAGATGTTGGATCAATCATTAAGTTTGAAAGACTTCTGTAATGAGTTATAAAAGCATGTGAAGTCATTTTTCGGAAGATGATTGGTGCCAAATAAAGAACCTTACTAGTGTATTAGTTTCTTTAAAATTAACAGCATTAAGATTAAAATCAGAACAATTATGTTTATCTGATTTTATGGTATTGGATTAGATGCCGATTAGATATAAAAAAAATTTAGTCATTTTTCATATGAAATATTAGAAAACATGAAAATTCGAGAGCAACATTATTTGCAAAATAATGTTGTATACATTTCTATACATTTAGAACCTCGATTCAAGTTTTGAGTTTTGAGCAAAAATAAATATCTAAAGACCATCTTATGGATTTATGGCATATGCAAAACTCTATTATTTGCAATATATTAGAGGCTACAACAATAATACCTACTGGTTGTAGTGAGAGAAAAAAATCAAATTATCATCAGATAGAAAGGAGGATCAATGCCTATTGCATCTTTAATAGACAAATTCTCGGAAGTTAAGATAATAAATATAGATATAAATATTTTTAAATTCTGGAAGAAAATTCTTCAATATATCGAGAATTATATATCTTGTTTAGAATCGTCATGGCTTTACCGGCGACACAAGATCAATACTTTACTATTATAAAGATAACTAACTAAGGTAAGCGTACGTGGATTTTCACCTTTGAAATATATATCATCTAATTTACTTGGAAATCTCAAGGATGATATTTTAGAAGATATTATGAATGTGCGATTGAATAAAACATTTGAAATATAAATTATTTCATTTTTAAATTTTTTTATCTGTAAATTATGAATGTGTATATATTGAAGTATAATAATAAATGAATGAAAAAAAAGTTTTATTTTGAATCATTTTTTTTATTTTCCCTGAACCCGAACCCTTTTAAATTTTATTACTGTACCCGAACCCTGACTGGACCTTTTTTTTTTGTCGAAGGGTTCACATCCCTGACATCTTCCCATTATAATAATTGTATTCCAAATAAGGACACAACAAATTATAATATTGCAATATTTCTCTTTCCCAGTATATTTATTTCTCTAGAGGTACAATTAATTTCTCTCTCATGCCAAGCGATCTCTTTCTCCTTTATCATTAATCTCAGTTACTTTCCCATCACAAATTATGTTATCACTGTCATTTATTATATAGATTTGAATGGTATTTTGAGTTTTTTTTTATTAATTATTTTTATTTTTATTTTTAGTAGGCATGTTACATCATTGTAAGTTTTATTTTACAATATTTTATTTTAATGTTTAAGGTCTTATTTTATAATGACATGAAAATTGGACATTAGGTATATTCATTTTTGAGTAAATAGAAAATTATATTCGCATATGTATATTAAATTTTTCACACAAAATAATGTATACATTGTTTTTTTAAATAAAATTACATAGAATAATATATACATTTTTTTTATATAAAACGACATAAAATAATAAATAATCGTTACACTATCAAAATACTCATATTATTATCAAACCCCAACGCTATTGCAAGTCCCCCGCCCCTTGCAACAATGAAAAACAAAAAAATTTATCAAAAATATTAAAAAAAGAAGCTGGTTCCAAAAAAAACTAATTCTACAGAGAATCGACTCATGTCTATCTAGGCCTTAGTTAATTAATCTTCTAATCTGGAGATATCAAAATGTTTAATTATTTATATATGAATAATCCCCCCCCCCCCAGAATCAATATTTGGAATGGGGGAAATTTATCACCCATTCAAATTTTACAATTCTCGTAAATATCATTTTAAACTAAATAATATTCCTCCTACAGACCCCCCCCCCCATCCCCCTCTGCCCAAAATATATACAATATATCATTTTAGTGAAGAATTTGAAAGAAAAATTAGTAAAAGTCAATAGTTTTTTAAAATAACGGCTATAATTATAAAATTCTTTTATAGAAATATTTTAATTTCAAAAAAAATTCAAAACCCCAAATTTTTTTATAAAAACTTAATATAGCCAATGTCCTATAAGTTAACCTAAATATGTCCTAAATAATCATGAAAAATATATATGCTTTCGCCCCATCCCTTCCCTTATCAAAATTCTAATCACCTATATGTAAAATTCATGGACATGTTTTTTTTATAAAATTTTTTTAATGACAATTCACGTCTGACGCATCTTATCATTATTGATCTCTTCACACTATCAATTCTCACTATGAAATCATTTAAATGAGCGAAAAGAAATACAAAGAGGTGTATAAACATATATCACCTTGGCATGTTTACGCATGTTCGTGGAATACAAAACCAACTAAATTATATACTCTGGCACTAGGAAGTTTTATCGAAGAATATTGCAACAAAGTAAACTACTATACTTATATTTTAATATTTCTCTTGCAAGATTCAAATTATTGAATTAAATGAAAATACCTCAAAATTTGATGTTAAAATAACATTTGATCATCCTTACCCACCTACAAAAATTTTATGGATTCCAGATTTAGTATATTATTTTGAAATTTTTTAAAATAAATTATAGCAAGGTAGGTACCCATCATTGATGGCAAGCAGTGGAGATTATTTAAGAATATGGAATCTTAACAACGAAAGTGTAAAGATGGAATGTTTACTTAATACAGTAAAATATAAATATTTTTAAATCTTTACTTTATAAAATGTGTTTGCATGCAAACTTTGATTATTTGATTTAATCTTAATAAAGGAAAGAAAACTAGAAAATAAGAATGTTATATTAATTTAATATCCTTTTGTATTAAAATATATTATCTAACTAATTTTTTTTCTTAATGTTTTTTTATATTTTCTTAAATATATTGATTTTTAATGCATAAAAAACATGATAAGATATTTATATAATTTTTTTCTTGACTATTGATTTAAATATATATATATATATATGAGCTTCTTTTATAAAATAAAAATTAACTTGTAGGGCTAGGCTAAAATCATAATAAATTAAAAAAATATGCTCTGAAGACAAATAATTCATGAGGCAGTGGTTATTAATGGAACATACATAGTCATTTTATAACACTACATCTCTTTTGTGCGAAATTTTTGAAAAACTTACTAAATTATCAATATTTGACCAAAAAATGTTTTATCATAATTGATATTTAATAAATAATATATATGGGTTTATTATAGTGTAACCTAATGAATTGATGATGCACACAAAGCATTTAAAATAGTAATTAGCAAATTGGAAAACAATTTATAATTATTAATAAAAACGTAAGCTGGTTTGCTTTTATCAAAAATGCTCAAAAATTAGTAAAACAAGGGATAATAAAATATTTTTACTTGAAAACATTATGATTATTATACAGGGTTTAATAGTATATTTGCAAAAAACATTAAAAAAAATAAAACAATATGTATCATAATGCTTAAAAAATGAATGATGATCCAATATATAATATATAACAAAACAGATGTAAAAAATATATTATAATTTTTAAAAATTTGATATTTTAATTTTCGTTTTTTTCTTTATTCTAAATTTCTACATTCTCTTAAAATATATTTAAATATAAATTATATCTTATAAATTTACCTTAATTCATATGTTGTTCCAATCTCCAAATATTGATGCATCTTATTATAATGATTTTAAAAGTTATAAGGAATAGTAAATTCATTAAGAATTAATGTTACATTATAAACGATTTGTCTTATATTGGGGATTGATTGATTGACTGATATTTGCTTTTTAATGCTCCAAGGAAATTTTCTACTGGGTTAAGCAGTGGTGAATAGAGTGATAAATATTCTCTTCACTCTTTAAAGCTATCAATGAGATGGCTTTTATGATTGATGCATTGTCCATAACAATAACAGCATCATTTGATAATATTAATAAGTTCTATCATATATAGAAATAATAAACTTATAAGGTCCTTTGATGATTTAATAAAGTATCACAACTTTGATCCCATAGTACATAATATACTTATATTTTTACCCTTAGATGCTGGGACCTTCACTATTGGCATAACGTCATATATACACAAGTGTAAACAGACACAACATGTAAATTTATGCCTGTCTCATATAAGAAAAATATTCTTTATAGACTAAATTTGGCATATATTGATAGCACCCAGTGTGTTTCTCCTATCATTTTTTTTTCCTGTTTGTCCCATCCTATTTTTTAAATATATTTATTTATAGTTCCTTCGTTTTTAGGAAATTTCGGTGGTAAAATTTCTATATAAATCTTTAATTGCAAATGTATTATTAGCCATTAAAAAATTTATTATTTCTCTCTGTATTGAAAGTGTCTTTTTTTTACCTCTCTTTTCAATATCTTTCAAAGAGTCTCATATGATTTCAGGAAATGTTTCATGCCTTAATTTATTTATAGACGATAAAGGCATTATATACTTTGCAATATTCTTCATTTTTATTCACTCTCCCCAGTACATATAATATTTTTTTTGCTATACCTATTTTTTCCTTATTCCAGTTTTTATATTTTCTTCTTGGAATATCCAATTTTAATTTTTTTGAATCAATAATAGAATCACCACTTAAATAGGGGGAATTGATATTATGGGAATTTTTTGTAGTTGATATATTAGGTATTGAATTAGATAAAAAAAAATCAGGAATTTATGAAAATCAATTTGTATTATTTGTGCTAGATAAAATTTATTGTATATGAAACATTTGAAAAAAATATTAAATTATATTTTATAAAAAGATTTAAGTTATATAAAAATTGTAAATGCACAAATATTACAATAAATGTTATTTATTAATGGATCATCATTTATTTTGTAAGTAATGTTCAAAAATATAAACACACATTGTTTTATATCTTTTTAATATTTTATTTTTTTGCTTACAATTGACATTTATGTATAAAATTTATAAAAGAATAAAGATTCTGATTTTTGTGCTCCAATTACTTCATTTGACTGGAATGAAGTAGATCCAAATTTAATTGGGACAGCCAGTATTGATACTACCTGCACCATTTGGTCTATTGAAGTATATTTTATTTATTTTATTATATATCATTTGTAAAAAAAAATATTTTTTTTGCTACTAATAATCTTAAAATAATTTATAAAACATTTCAAGGTATTTCTCTAGATAACACTAAAGGTATTTTAATTAAACATTAACACTAAGAAAAAATTCTGAACCTTTAAAAGAAAAACAAATGAAAACTCAAGAAATTATTTTTAAATTAAGCAACAATACTATAATCACAATCATTCATTAAGGGCATCAAATATGTTACACATTTTAGTAAAATTGGGCTTCCTGCCACACTGCTAGATCTATTAATTAGAAAAATATGGTTATTATAACTAAAATGATCAATGTTATTCTGACATGCTCTATTAATGCCATTACTTGATACAAACAAGAAAACATTAAAAAATATAGAGAACTGCTCTCACATTTATACGAACTATATATCAAATAAAAACCCAAATCCCCACTACATTTTAAGATTTGAGTTAAAGAAAGCTTCCCACAAGAAAATATCAAAAACAGGTAACATTTATGGGTGAAAAATTGTAATAAAAATAAATCAACATCTATGAATGGATCTTCATCTCAAGATGATTTGCTACAAACGTTTCTTTAAAATAAAAAATTGTCATAAACAAATATATTAGAACTATCATATAGTATTCCAAACATCCTACTTAGCTTCTCTAAAATCCTAGGTTAAATGTAGAAGAATTATTTTAAATTATTCCTATTGGTTGATGTAGAGAATAAAATACTCAGAATTTTCTAATATTATATCTGTAGTGCCGATTGTTCTTAACCATAAAATTTATATTTTACCTTATAAAATTAATTTGACTGGGAAATATTCTCAAAAATAAAATTGAATAGTAAATTAGTATTTTTTGTAAATAATTATCTACATGATAGATAATAAATGATTTTATTTGTTTATTTGGATATATCTGTAAATGATGGAATAAACATTAATATAGTTATAATTTAATTGGATAGAAAATAACATTAAATCACCTATCTATAGTTTTTATCCTAAATTATTCATTTTATGTTTCAGTTTAGAGGTATTGGCATAAACTAGACTTATTTACATACTATTTAATTTAAAGTCATTAATTTTCGAACGATAGTTGGTACCAATGTTAAAAGATATAAATTTATAAAAAAATCTAGTTTTGATGATAAAAATAATTGAAAAATTCATAAATAGCCTCAAATCAACTTTTGAAGCTAAAACTTTGCTACAATATTGGAGTGGCATAGCTGATTTAACAACATTATATCTTACATAATTCTTATATATTTTATATTATTCAAATTTTTCTATTATATTACCTTCAAAAAATAGAACATTCTTACATTTTTATTAGAACTAAAGTATATCCACACAACATAAAAATAAGTTGCTTGTTGCCAAAATTCCATTTTATTTATTTTGTGAGGTATGATGTTAGATTTTGTTTGATTGGAAAATAATTTCTTCGAATTTTGTATAGATTTTGTTGCCATTTTTAATTATTTTGAGATTAAGCTTAATCTAGTGTGTACGAATTTCATAAATGGTGCGCTTATCAATGTTGAGTTAAATGATATTAAATCAAATTTGAAAGAAATGAAATAATATATATCGAACACTACAATAAATTAAAACGATTGTAATTTAATCGATAATTACGAGTAAGTTTTGTATTCTAATGTTTTTTGTCGTAGACTAACTCCCACAAGCAACATATTGCGAAATACCTGTGATCGTTTCTTCATTCCCAATATTAAAAGATCTAATAGTAAACATCGATAAAAATCAATAGAACTTGACCCATTTTGTTTTTAATATCTATACCTAAAAGAGTGGGTTATATCATATTAATGGATGATTTCTTCTATCAATTTTGTAATTAGTATATATGGGTTGAAAATCAACAAAAATTGTTACCATTTTTGAGGAGTTTGTTATTTATTTATTTTTTACAGCTCTAACATTTTATTAAATTCTTATTTTTTTATAAATACAATGGTTAGACAGGTCAAGAAATTAATAAAACTTCCCCATTGGATTGTCAAAATAATAAATTATCAAATTCAAAAAATGTTAAATTACCATTAACCCATTTTTACGCGCAACATTATAAAATTAGTGGTGCTTGCCCTTTGATTAATGATAACATAAAATGCGACATGTCGGCTCAAATGAAAACACAGATAATAGCGCATGACAAGGAGGTATTTGATCTGGCGTTTAGTGGTTGTGCTGGAGGAAGGGACATGTTTGCAACAGCGGGAGCTGATGCCTCTGTCAGAATATTTGATCTTAGACATTTAGAACATTCTACTATAATCTACGAACATCCCAAAGGAAACTCACTTGTTCGCTTAGCCTGGAATAGAGAAGATTCTAACTATTTAGCCGTTTTACCTTCTGGGGCGGATGAAATATTGGTAACAATCTTTATATATATAGTGAATAAAATTAACAATTTGTAAACCCTAAAAATTATTTTATTTATCTTAAGATTTTGGATATTCGTATGCCTTTACGACCAGCTGCTGCAACGATTAGATCGTATTCTATACAAAATTCTGATCACCTTATTCAAATCGATGAAACATCCACTCATTTAAATGACAGTTCTAACCTTTGTATCGATCAAAATCGTAAAGAAATAGCCTCTATTAATGCTTTTGCGTGGGCCCCTCATTCGAGTTCTCATTTATGCACCGTTTCCGATGATAAACAGGCCATGATATGGGATATTCGGAAAAATAACGCTGATATACAAACCAAATCGCTAAATAATCTTAACTATGGATCTCCCTTTCAAACCACACATTTTAATCAATCAAAAGAAGATGCATCACCTTTATACATTGTTCCTATTTTAGCTTATACCGCCATAGGGGAAATTAATCAAGTACAATGGTCAATTTCTCACCCAGAATGGATATCTATTTGTTACGGAAATATTTTAGAAATGTTGAGGGTTTAGATTGTAAATTTTATTTGGATTATTTAAATATTGTTTTAAAAAAATATTTATTTCGTAATATAATTAAATTATAAAATTACAGATTATATGTAATAAATGAAACTAGTAAAGTTATTTTTATATACGATTCCTAATTTAGCATTTGATAGAAAATTTCTTTTTCCTAATTTCTAATAAATGATTTGCTATTCTTCAAATTAGGGTTCGGCAATTTTTAAACTTTATTTAGCAGAAATTTTAATAGAAACTTAATCGGACCCGAGTTTCCGAAGGGACTTTGAATCGGCATCTGGTTAATATTATCCGGAATTTGGTGGGTTTTCCGTCAATTTATATCTGTTTAGTCTATGATCGTAAAATGTCCAACCAAACAATTATAAATTTCTTAACCCTAATTTAGGTCAAATTTTTTGATATAATTATCAATCAATAACCTAGAATAACATCATAAGTAGTATTTAGTTAGACCTTCATTTTAATTTATTTTGATTTTAAAAACAGAGTTTAAACCCTATTTTTTTTAAATCAAATATTTAATTTCGTATTTTTAAGGTAACATAGCCCTATATGATCTCTTATATTTATAAAATAAATAATTAAACACCCACCACCTTTATTCGAGCAAACCTAAGATAATCAAAAAAAATATTTTTTTCGATTATTTCATCAATAGTTTGTTTTTTAAAAAGACTACAAAAAATTATTTATTTTACAATCAAATATTTTGTTAATATATTATATATAGAAAATTTTTGAAACAATTACTAGAGGAGAGGATATTAAATAAAGAGATATCTCATATATGGTATACCCATTTTCGTAATATTTTTACATCTGCATTTTGCATCGCCCTTTCTTTTCATTGAAAATAGGCCAATGAGCCATTTGATATTATATTACCTAATTTCCATCTCTGGAACCTTCTATTGCACAAAATAGCTACTAGAGCTTAAAATCTAATCATTTTTCTATAACTAATGTACAATAAAAATGTTTTACAACCCCATTTTTTATACATTTTTATTCTATATTACATGCTCATCACCCACTTTATTCTACTTAATGTTTAAAAAAATTCGATTTAAGATTTCATGTTACCGATAAGCAGGTAACAAGATATAAGAATTTTAATAAATTATCTAGGTAGAGCTTCCTCATTAGACCTGCGATTTCAAATTAAATATTGTATAAAATATATAACTGAAAAAAAAACACTTTGATTAAATTTTTTACTTAATTACTTTAGAACAATGATATTCAATAGTGAATGTTGGAAGTGAAGCCAGCGGATATATAAATTACAGGTTGTCTAACAAATTTAGCAAGCATTCAATAATAAATTATGATTCAATCAAATGAATTGGAACAAAAATGCCATAATTTTATAAGAAAATATTATCCCCAGGTTATAGCTATTCTAAGGTTTTGGGAAGATCGAATATCAGCATCTTTCCATGGTAGCCAAAAATTTTTTTATCTTATTCCAGGAACTAGTGCATGGTAGTGAGGGGTTTCTCTATCATCTGGTTTACGCTGAATTCAGCATTAACCATATGTTCCCTAAAATATAAGATTACAAAATTTATTAATTTTTCCCAAAAAAATATAGAATAGTATTTTTTTAGGGATGTACCGATAATTTTTATCGGAATGGGCCGATATTTCATTATTTTTAAATATTGGTAATCGTATAAATTTTCTGATTCGATATATTGCCATTTTAATATTACAAAACTCATTTCAAATTTCATTACATATTTGTTTGTTACTTATTATATAAATGTATTTATGTTAACTGATCATCATAATATATTTAAATGACTTATGATATCGTATTGTTTAATTATAAACGCTAGATGAGTAGTGATACTATTACGATTAGTATATTTACAGAATACAAAATCAGATATGAGATCTGATTGGCAATTGGCCGATATAAATTAGATATTGGTAATATCTGATCAGATCGACCTCCAAAAAGTGGTATCGATACACTCCTAGTTTTTTTTAATATATATTTAATTTCTTAATAATTTATTAGCATTTTAAAAATATCAATTAGCATATAAAAAGTAATAATTGAATTATGTCGTATTAATACTTTCTTTGAATTCATGGGGATTCTAATCTCAAATTTATATCATTTGCTGAGGGCCATTTTTAAATTTGGAAAATATGATTCCACTAGAATGTATTACAACATCTTCTAGACCATCAACCTTATAAAATTCAGGCAATTTTAATTTATATGAAAAAATACAGATGTTTTTTTAAAATATATATTAATTATTGAAAATTCTCTAAACGTATTTTATAAAAAATACTCGTGTGAATTTTTTTGATCTTATATTAAAAATATGAATATTAAATTTAATACTGCATTGCTCTCAAATGCCTGTGTTGAACGATTATTTAGTACTGCAAACCTTATACTTTCTGATAGCCGTTCTAGACTAGGGGATGACAATATAGAAAATTTATTGCAATAAAAATTAAATTGTCATATTTTATACCAATATTTTTTATTTCTGGAAATAGAGATATTTTAAAAAAATTATTAAATTACTTAAAAAGTAGCTTTTAGCACCTTTTTTAAAGTAGCTAATACCACACTACTTTTTTGAAAAAAATAGCGGTAGTGATGTAGCGCTACTTTTTTTTGTAAAATAGCGATAGCGAAAACTACTTTTAAAAGTAGCATTTAACACAATGCAATTAAATAATGAACCCTATATGGTCAATTCGGTATTTAAATTAATGTTTCAGAAGATTCTTATTAAAAATCAATTATTGTTTCTAAAGCATCAGCGACCAGTATTAATTTGATGCAAAAATATGATACCATTAATATATTTCTAATCTAAATCATTTATCAGCTTATTTTATAAATAACTTAAGTTTTTTTACCACCATTTTATAACTTCGACTTTAGATAATCCTGATTTCATTTGAGTGGTATATTTACTTGTTTTCATACTAAAGCTTATTCTTAATGCAATACAGTTTGCACATGGAATAAACTATATGTTAATACAGTTAGAAATAAATATAAATAAATTATGTTCTAATATGTTAATTTAAAGGGTTAGGGTCCATTTGTAAAATAAAATAATATACCTATTATAAAGAATCTATTTTTCTTGATTTTTGCAATATTTTTTATGTCTTAAAACTTCCTCAGTAGTATTATTGGTCTCAACAATTTAGAATTATAGTTATTTAAGAAATAAGCAGCATAATAGATGAGAGATCAAGGCAAATGTTCATTTAAATAATATCACAATGATTTTACACGGTCAGGTAGATCCGAACCAATTTTATAAATTAGACATATGTTAGATATTTTACCTAATAAATTAGAAGAGCTTGAAATGTGAGATATTTTTTATATAAATTAACAAATATTTTCTTTCAAAAGAAAAAATAGAATAAAGCAGTTAATCCAAAAATTTATTAGCTTTTTATATTATGTATACATAATTAAATTTTTTCATTATAATATAATATTTTGTTCGTTACAGTTTTTTTTTTGCTTTGAGATATTTTGATAATAAAATTAATGAACGATAAAAGTAATACCTTTAATAATGGTGATACTTTTTTTGAATGGAGGTAACTCAGCACGTTAAATTGGATTGACCCTGGATAAGATTAGGTAGAAAAGAAGCATGAACTCTCGACAAATAAAAACAAAACTGATTTCGCTTCTTTAAGTAACAACACTTATAAATATTTAAAAAATCGATAATGATCTTTAAGATTCTTGTAATAATGTTCTAATAAGTTTTTTTTTGAAAATAATTTTTAAATACTTTTAATAATTCCCCAAGTTAAAGTTTTTATTTAATAATACAATTCTCATATCTTCTGCGCCAGATGTACGTGTGTTTAGCATAGTGGAAGCTGTGTCTGTGTTTAACACTAAGCGTTCTTGTTGAACTGATAAAATTTTTGAAAATCAATTGTTAAAAATAAATAACAAAAAGAACATCTTGTATATTATTTTTATTTAATTTTTTTTTCATTATCTCTGGAGAAAAAAATGTTATATATAATGTTTAGTATTAGTTAAGCGTTCTTTTTTTACAAGTTAATATGTCACTAACTCGTATTAAAGTTTTTGGGATAAAATATTTCCCACCCAACCATATTTTTAATATTTAAACCCGCCAGCCCATGATTTTTAAGAAAATATCAGCCTATCGTTTTCATTTTAGCCTGCCCGCCAATGATTTTGAAAAATAATATCACTCTCAACCTGCTATGGTTGAAATAAAAATGAAACACTCCTAATTGCCACCCATAAAAAACCTAAAATTTTTTAATAAATATATAAATTCCTTTCGTAAAAATATAAATGAAAAATTATAAGGAAAAAAATTAAATTCTCTGATGGCAATTTTAATTAAAATTAATCTCTTACGGACTTTTATCGAAACATCAACATATATTTTTTAAAGATTCAAGAGCTCAATCTCCATAACTGTTGAAAGTAACTATTTTCTAATTCATTCGCATGCCTTAGTATATTAATAAATAAATAAAATGTAAAAACGCTCTCTAACGGGTATATTTTGATTAATTTTTTTTATTATATATTTGTTTAAAATAATTTACATATGTTATTATTCACCATAATACATACTTTCAAATACGTTAATATTATTCAATCTTCAAAATTAATTTTCTCTTTTACTTCATAATATTATTTTACTATGATGATATGATGCAAAAATGTCAAAAACAATTTGAATAATTAAGTTAATTTCCCGAATTTCGTAATGTCTGCTTATTGTTAAAAGGCATGGAATTATTTTTTCGACAACTAAATTTCCAAATTTTTATCTCAACAAAATTATTGTAAAAGTTCAATTAATTCTGGACCAATGATATTTCTTTGTGAATTATGTTAAAAGTTTATAATATTAAATCATAGACCTACAGGCCCGGCCATATTTCAATTTTTTTAAATATACCCGGGCCATGCCTAAATTTTTTTTTATTAAATAAAGGCAAGGCCGTATATTTTAAA